GGTCAGGCTCGCTGACTTGGTTGATGCATGTCATCGATCCCAATTGCATGGATCGATGCTCATGATATCAATCATTGGATTGTCTGGCGCACCCCCTTCTACTCAGCCGTGTTTTTATAGAAATGAAGTGCGCACTATACTCTAGAAAATACGGTAATATTAATATTTGCATCTTAAATGACTGATTTTGTGTTATATCTAGTATAGAGCGATTTTCTATATTCTATTCTCTAAAATGTTTTCAGGGCAGGTTGTTTACTCAGTTTTATGAATCGACTATCCCAGCTCTCCCGTTTCTAATTAAATCTGTTGAGATAAAATACCAGCGCATTTGGTTCCCAACATCTCCTGACTGGAAAATATTCAAATTTTCTGGAGCCAAAGGAAATATTATTTGTATTTTAATCGACACCAGAAAGATCAATTAAGGCATTAAAAAATCTCCGGCAAAGTCTGAATCCAAAATGGTGACCTTAAGTCTAATTGATTTTACTTATCGATTTGTTCAAAATGCCTGTAGCTTAGGCATGCATTGTATGCGTCATCAGGAATTAATCACACACAGCCAGGGAAATATCTCCGCCATTCCTTCAATTACAATAAAACCTGACTAATACAGACGTCATGACCTTAACACTTTGCTCTGAATCGTTCCTCTCTAATGTCTACATCTAATGTCAATGTACCACTGCATGACATTAATGATATACACTTGGTTGTTCAGCTTGTGAATTGCGGAAATGTATAGTCTTTATTCGCAGCCATCAAGTCTCGTGGGGGTGGTAGTGGCGGTGGGGTGTTGGGGTAGTCCAGTGGTTAAAGTGTTCGCTCGTCACGCCGAAGGCCCGGATTCGACACCCCACATAGATACAATGGTTGAAGCCCATTTCCAGTGTCCCCCGCCTTGATATGGCTGGAATATTCATAAAAGCGGCGTAAACCCATACTCACTCACTCACTCACTCACTCACAGAGAGACAGACAGACGAACGACGGACACTCACAAACTAACACACACATGCAAAAACTGCCAGATGAAAGTCGGGATTCCCAAGGTATTAATAGGGGCTTATGGGTACAAATACTACTTCTGTAACATCATTTGTCAAAAAGTACTATGTGTTTGACATATTGCCTGCAAAAAGTACTTGATGTCTTCATTTCTTTCCCAGTTTCTTTCACAAACAAGTGCTATGGTTATTTATAACAGTGAACTCCTGGACCGTTAAAACGTGCAACAAGAGACGGCCAATTTGATTAAACAGCTAATGTATGGGCAACGAGCGTCACTAATGCTACTTTACTTCGTTACATGTTAAAATTCGGTTAATTAACATATCCACGTGAATGTCACAATTGTAGGTAGGGTTTCAACACGAGTGAATTACACACCCACAAGGAGTGACGGTGTGCCGTCAAGATGGTGACACGGGTTAATACACTGGCATGTTGGCATGCATTAGGAGTTCCCTGCCGTCTCGGTATCAGGATGTTGGGAAGGCATTTGGGGACTTATCAACTTTCTTTTACGCACCAAAAAATAAGTAACTTTGTTATTTTGTTTACGGAATTTACTATTGAGGACATTTTATTATATACTTCAGTGTGAAAGACTGAGTTTTCTGAAATTGAGAAAAGTGATATTTTCATTGCAGTGAACACAACACTTGATACTACACTGCAGTGAACATAACACTTTAACTATTGTCATGCAAGAGCTACCAAGCTCCTCACAGCGATAGCCCGTTCGCGGAGCTCTCTGAACTATCGCTGCCATCCGTCAAAGCTCCCCACTGTGATAGGTGGCTACAACCATGCTTGGGGTTGAACTCGCAGCTGACTTACCGTTATGTTTACAAACAAGTGATGACTGCAGTGACGCCGAATAGTCTTATCCCTGCTAAATTATTTTCTTTGTTTGTCAATTTGAATTTCTGTTTCAGTGTAGGATGTGATCCGGAAAGTCACGATTAGTTTTGCACGTGGGTTCGCCGCACATGCAAAACTAATCGTGACTATGAGAACCATATCCAGCGCAAAACAAAAGTCGCGGTAAAGTGCGGGGTTGACTATTTGAGGTTGTTTCTTCAAACATGGAAAAGATAGGAACAGAAACGGATGGCAGAATTCTTGTATTTCCCGAGCGAGAGCGAGGGTAAAACATGATTTCTTACACGATTTTCGCAAAATCAGTATGACACAGATAGGAATGTAATAATGTACATATAACCCACTGTTTTTTAATCCTTTTGAGCTTTTCAGAAGAAAGGTTCGAAAGTTCATCTGCCTGATGGAACAGTCGCGTTCCTTGTCCTTCTAGAATAAAATGCTTAATTGTTTTTTGTTTGTTTCATTTTACTTGTTAACAATTCTAAAGGGTTGTATTTTTATTTCCATGGACGCAACTCTACACAGCGAATTGCGGCGCCTTATTGCGTGCCCCCTTTAAGTCTAGAGACACATATATGACTTGGCAAACCCCAGTTGTTCAGGATCTCTCACTTGATTGATGCATGGAGTAAACTGACTATAAAAGCCCAGTTTCCACCCCCGCAAAACTAGGATGGAATTATGAAGTTATATATTTGGCTGGACTAACGCGTCTATACATAGTACAATCAAACTCGCGGGACGAAATCGACATTCGGTTCATAAACAACATGGCGACTGCCGTGTCGATTGCAGGATTTGCAGAGCATGTGTACTATAAAATGGACGTGAATAGATGTTCATGTTTTTAATCTAGGTACTCAAGTGATTTGATGCACTTCGCGAGATAAGACCTATTTTATTACAAAAAGATCTTGATTATCGATCAGATTGTCTGGCCTCAGACCACAATTAATTTCATTTTTTGCTATCTACAGTGACATGACAGCCATCCATAATTATTATCAGTCGTAGGCTGTTCTCCTGTTGCATGCTGACCAACCTGCCACTTGTCACTTAAAACGCAAAGTTTCGGCCAGCATTCACCACCTTGCTTTCGCAGTAACCACTGTCAACAATGCTCACCGGAAGTTTCGAGCCGAAACACACACAGCGGCCTTCAACTTGGGGTCAAATCATGGGAAGCTGGAATCAATACCTTCACAGATTGGGGCTAACAAAAGATTGACAGCAAACTACAATGTCTTATCTTTCATTTAAGCTATCACAGGTCACTCCAAAAAAATTGCCACAGGCGGAACAGCCCATTTAAACAGGGTACTATATTCTCCTATTTTCCTTCCGGTTCATGCTAAAACTTAGGGGGGATAACTGTGGTCTGAGGCCGTCTTGACTGGGCGCCGCCATTTTGTTTGAATCAAATGCAAGTGATTTAAAGAGGTAGAATATGATTGGTCAAAAGGGAGGGACATAACCTGTAATAGCCACTGGTGGCGCGATGATCGAACTACGAAATTGTAGCCTAGCTCGGCAAGGGTGGAAACTGGACTTTTACTGTCAATTTACTCCCTTGCCTGTCATATTGCTGGAATATTGCGGCGTTAAACAACGAACACAATTGCGTCATCTCCATATCATAAAGCATGTTTATAGTGCTGCACAAGTAATACCCCGTTCCACGGACCAGTGTGCTATTATGTTCCACTCTCAACTTCCCGGGGAGAGAACTCAAGTTGCAGGTCTCCCTTATCTCGTACACCTTTATGGATAACAACTTCCGGTTTATTGCATATAGCGACGTTTCGATGTAGATTCTTACACCGTTATCAAGCTGGAGTGACAACAACCAAGTGATGAGAGGTATATATACATGGCATGTTGTGATGTTGCTATATGCAATAAACCAGAACTTGTTATGCATAAAGTTGTACGTTTTTCTTACTTATCAAGAGCTTCCTTGTCTCACCAACAGTGTATCAGTTCGACGCTGGTTGACAAAGGTTGCAAACAATTAAAGAGCCTTATGTGTTGTAAGACATTCTCTTCGATGTAGTGGACAGAGCGTCTGACTGGAAGGGAGTATTGTTGGCGGTTCGATCAACTTACATCCATTAAGGCATTCCCCCACACGCTGCATCCAATAACGTGACTATGGCACTCCATTACTCGCCACATGTTCTAATGAACTTCATCAGGTTCTGTACCAACTAGGGCACTCCAGCAAACGCAGAGCCCATCCAGGCACTCTACTACTCGCCACATGCTCTAGTGAACTTAACCAGGTTCCAGGTGGGGGTGGGGGGCTGAGGGGTAGGGAGTGCGTGTGTGCGTGTTTGTGCGTTCGTATGTGAGTGCCTGTGTCTTCGTGCGTGTCTGTGTGCGGACCCGTAGCTTCAAACTTGTATGGGTCTTAATGGCCTGCAGTAATTTACATGTCGATATATTTACCACAATAACCCACAGTTTCTTAAATGAGGGAGCATGAAGAGTCTATATAGCCAGGGCCCTGCAGCTTCTAATGTCTGTTGGTCGTGATGGCCTGGCGTTTGTTTTTATTTCAAACACTGACCCCATCTCCTCAACTCTTCTTGGCGGGGGATTAAAAAACAAAACAAGAGTTTGCCACAAACGTGGATATATCCCCCGCCCCTGTTGCAGAATTTATGACATAATTAAATCTAAACAAACCCTAACCTTTTTTTAACTAAGGTGGAACTTGTCATGGAAATTGTAAAAAAAAGAAGAGTTTGGAACCTAGGTCCATCTTGCTGCCATGGAAGCGTACAAAAATAAAAAATTCTAAAATTTCTAAATAGCAAAAGGCACCAGTTTAGCATGTACCTGACAGACCTGCAAAGTTTCATGAAAAACTATTGAACGGTTTATGAGTTATGCTCCGGAAACGAACCTTTCCCTCACAGAACCTAAGTCCATCTTGCTGCCATGAAACGAAACGTGACTGACGTACGGACGGACGGACGGAGCCCGTTTCTATATCCCCCGCCAAAAGAGCGAGATTCAAACAAAGACAATGTTTTGGTGTGTTCGGTTTCATGATCTGGTGTATCAGGGAACGTACTGAATAATCTGAAACGGGTCAGCCGTAAGGAGCCTCATCTGTTTTTGTACACAGAAGGCCAGGCAGTACCTTGAGCAGGCTGGAGGGGCTTTAGCATCTGACCGCGAATTCTAAAGTTGTGTCTGCCGTGTTGAAGGGTGAGATAATTCAACTGTCATTCCTTACACCATTCATTTTAGCATCATAATCTCGTAAATCAGGTTGATAACAAAAATACAAACCGCATTATACAAGGTCGGCATAACCCTTGGGAAAGAGGTGACCTAAAATATGAGGGTGTGAATGGGTGTACAACATGGGTCGCAAAATGTATTATAATATGCACATGTTGCTTCTGGCTCGTTGTGTGTTATCGAACCCCGACTGCGTGAACATATACTTTGTTATGTCAGGTGTGGGCCTGGCACATATTACCCACTAACGTAAGGGACCGAGGCTTTAAACACTGGGCTACTGTACACCTGTCTGCGTCGTGAAAAGAGCGTCATGCAATGCCTATGTTATTCATGTAAGGAGCGAACCATTTGATACAATACTTTGATACAGTGCTTTTGCTCTTTGTCTTTTCAAGGACATGGTGAGGGTCATCCTAAAATATGACAGACACCATAGAAAGTATAAAGAAATGGTATCTAATACTGAGTGCAGTATTCTCTATTTGTATAAAAGAAGACCATTTTTACAACACCACGTGTAGCACAAGCTCAGCCATCAGTTTTCTTCAGATTGGGAGAAAACTGGCCAACTTGACATGTTTGTACTCACAACTACTCGAATATCGCTAAAAGCGGCGTAAAACCAAACTCACTCACAACTACTCGGGGAATGTACTTTGCAGTTACTAAGATTGTGGATGATGGACATAAATAGCAAAACATTAAGTAAACTGACTAAGAAACGTTACCGACCTGAAATCATGACAAGGTGGGTCCAAACCCCGCAATGGTTGAAATTCAATCGCCCAAACATAACCAAACAATTTGATGAGTGATGAACGTGCTACAGCACCCAGACCAATGGAACTTGAGTTTGAAGTGAAACGTTAGCTGCACTAATGCCAGCCTACAAAGATATGGATATAGAAGAAAGGAACGATGTACTGTTCATTCACACCCAAAACGTTGGACAGTTGCATGTTATGATAAGCCCTACAGGAGAAAGAACAAGCTGTTGGTAACGCAACGCATGATCACGTTGCAAGGAGTTTTGGCTGTAGACGGATGATAGTCACCAGGCGCATGGGATGATTCAGACGGACTGGGAGGAAGAAAGACATGCCTAGGTGTGGCAGACCCCCTGTCACCACCATCACTGTGACGTTTTAAGCTCAGTCATCCTGTCAGTCGCTAGACAGTTTCCAGAAGAATGCGTCGGTACAATACCAGAGCTTGCAGCCCACTACGAGACGTAACGCTGACACTGCAACGCTGGAACAACAGAAAGTGGCAAAGAGTCATGTTCAAAGGAGAGAGCAGGTTTAATCTGTTCCTTGCAGATGGAAGACTGTGTGTCAAACTCCGACAAGGAGAACATTGTTGCATTCCAGATTTCGAACCGATTGGAGGTGGCAGCATCTGAAGCCCTGTCAATGCGGTATCTATAGTAAAGTAAATGCGGCATCATTTGCAATGTGGCAAGTCAAGGCAGATCTGGTCATTCTATAAGGAAACAGGACAGCATTACATTGACCAACCTCTCTACCCTGTTGTACTACCATTCTTGCAACAGTACAGGACAGACCTTGTTTCGACAAGCTAACACAAGGCCGCAGACAACATCTTGTCATGGCCAGCACAGTCACCAGACGTATCACCTACAGAACTCTTGTGGGATCAGCTTGACGGTCAAATTAGAGCATGACCAGGCGGCCCTTATAACAAGGATCAGTTACCACAGGCCCAGTGAGAAGAATGGTGTTGAATCCCATTTCTTGTGTTCAGACGTATCACATCTTCTCAAGGTCGTGTTGGGGCGTGCATTGTATCCCGTGGTGGACATCACAATACTGACTGTCACTGGTGACATTCCGAAGGTTAAGATTCCAGTCTTGATAGTCGATCGAATACTGAACAACTCACCCAAACCTCCAAACTGCGGACGCAATACCTTCCTTTTTGTACTCATTCATCGTATAACTTGTAATGATGTTGATATATAATTCATGTCTTTCGACAATACAAATATGTAATTTTTACCAATTAAGTTTAAAGGAAACTTAATAGGCATAACATCACAGCGACCAACTGTTTCAGTCCTATCACAATGAGACTCAAAATCTCATCCAAATATTAATAAATTAGTGTTACAGACATACTGTCTATCATGCTCATGTCGCGATTTCAAAGGCTTTTTTACGATGCGATATTTCTTTAAGCAGATGGATGCTGATTTTCTTTTATTTTCATAAAATTATAAGCTGTGTTTTTTCTCCAGAGCCACACTCTCGTTTCCCTTTAAATTCTTCGTTGGTACGGTAGAGACCTGCAAAACCTAGTCAGATTGCATTGACTGAAATAGAAAAGACATCCTCCATATTTCTTTATATACAGGTCTTCATAGCTTGTGTTAAAATGAATAGTCTATTTCCTGAAATGTAACACATGCATTCAGTAAGCGTTCAGTCATGTGGAACTAATTCCCTAATGCAACTTATCATGTGTATTATAAACTGAAGCAGAATTAGAGGTAACCCATTCCCGAACGGCAGGTTCCTATATCAGTGTCCACGACCGGAGCCGCTGTCCCGCACTGAAGACAGAAGCTGGTTACGTACCAGGTGGTTTCAGTCGAAGCCTGTCAAATCTGGTTAGACTGGCGTCGTGGCAATTGTATACCTGACTGTGTGTTTGTTCCTCCTCTCTTTGTTTTAGATCTGGCCAGTTGTATAATAGTACTGATTGGTTACTATCAGGTTTGCAAACTTGTGACTTTTTACCTGTCAGACGGTTTAACCCTCAGCTTGGTTTAATGCATAGAAAGAATACTTAAACTTCAGTTGTGTGTATCTTTGCCAATGCGCCTGAATGCAATCGGTCTGTTTTTCTCAACGTCACGAGCTCGTACGCCATTAATAATCTTTTTGACAATTACGAGTCGGCTACTCTGTGGGCGAGGCGTTACTATAGCATAGGCTCTGAAATGATGAGGATGGCCTTGGTTTTTTTAAGCATAAGACTGAATTTTACACTAAATTATGACCTGTCTTTTGTTCGTTTTTAAAAAAACGTCCCCAAATCAAAAATGGTCTAACATGATATGATATATGACATTTGAGCTCTTTTTGTAATGACAATAACGGTTTTACATAACTCAATAGTAAGCTTTAGATTACATACACATAGCTTACTTAGAGAGATTTTCACATGAATCACGGTCGTCTATCAGATTATGTCCTCAGTCTTATAAAGGCAGTCACTGATAAAGCATTATCATTGATACCTTTATAGACGGCACACGATTACCATGCCCCCTTGAATGACAGCTAGAGAGAATGTAGATCCTATTACTGTGGAGACTCAATGTCATTACGACGAGCCGTAAAATGGGGATTATACTTCTGAAGGCCCACGATGGCTATACAGCCGTGCTACCTACCGTGGTAAATCTATTACCAGGCTTACACGTCCCTCCTTAATGTCTAAGCCCCCATGTCAGACCGGGCACCTGTTATAGGGATCCTGACACATCAGAGTAAAATCGTTATCTCTCTTTCAACACAACGACCTTGACCTTTCGGAAATCAAAATAGCCCATGATGTCGCAAACCATCTCCCTTTTACAAACTGTCTGCCAAAACCAATGAAGAATGGTTTTCAAGCAGGAATAATCTTACGCGCTACTTGTTTCTGAAGCTGAAAAAGGAAATGTCATGACAAAATGGCTTTACGTTCCTCACTTATTTTCCATTACCGAGGAGCTTATATTCACGAGACTAATCTGTTAGAGCGTCAGGCAGGTTCTCCTGTACATCATATGATTAACGTTAAACCACGAGGCCCACACATGTAGCGAGGTATGCATGGTTTGAGACGAGAGAAGTAGGGCTTCTGCGGGGACCATAGAGTCATATCACCAAATAGTATATATCTATTTATCGAGTTGTTGAGGTTCCTATTCTAACTAATACAATGTCACCAAATCGTGACCCAGTAGGGTAGCCTATTGGTTAAAACGTTCGCTCGTCACGCCAAAGGTCCGAGTTTAGTCATCTGCGTGGGTGCAACAAAGTGTGAAGTCCATTTCTTTTGTCACCGCCGATATAGTGCAGGAATATTCCTAAAAGCGTCTTCATGTACACGTCGTACCTTACCTCCACTGCTATCCCTACTGAACTCACTGTCAACACACATCAAAGGGAACAACATTCTAATGCCACTTGGGTGTTTGAAGCACCGTCTATGATCGTGTTGGTAACTCATTTTGTTAGTTGTTTCAACCCCTTACTCAACAATATTTCAGTGGTTAAAGCGTTCGATTCTGCACATCGGTACAATATGTGAAACCAATTTCTGGTGCCCCCCGCCGTGATATTGCTGTAATATTGCCAAATGCGGCGTAATACTGTAATCACTCACTCCCACACTCAAGAATATTCCAGCTATATGATAGCTGGAATATTGCGAGTGCGGGGATAAACGACAAACAAACAAACACAAGATTATATCCAAACCTTCGAAGAGATGCGTTTTCATCAACCTTTGAAATCTATAAACCCACAATATCAAAGTTTCACGAAAGCCTCTTAGCGCTTCGACCTCCTTGCCGCTACGACACGGTTAACGGCCCTCTTAAGGATCTCCTTGAGACGAAAGCGTCTTAAAGTCAATCTTAAACTGGGATGTCGCAAGACCTTATGACATCGTACTTTACATGGAAACGGGACCCGGAAGTGAAAGGGCGCCTGTCGGTTTGATCGCCTGGTGATCACTCGGCATCGTGTTTACACCGAGACAGTTCCCTTAAAAGTTATGACGTTGTTTACGAGGTCGTAGCGCTAAGAGGCTTTCGTGAAACGGCACCCAGGGCTACAACATAATGGTATGTTTGTCATCCGAGGTCATTTAGCATCAGTATATTCACAGTTTAGAAATGCACTCGTTCATATCATTGAGAGCAAATTTCATTTGAAAATATATATTTCGTTAATTAAAATGTTAAGACTTTGGTTTCAACACCACAGATTTTGCTTCCTCAAAGAGTGCACAGAATGACTGCACAGCGACGAGTGTTGGTGCTGGGGGCCGGTAGGGTGTCTGGGCCGGTGTACGAGGACCTGGCCGAGGAGAAGGACGTGCACGTCACTGCAGGTGAGATGTCAGTTCATCAACTATCTATTATCACACAAAAAATCTTAAATAAATCGACCGAACTAGGAATCGTGTTCTAACGATGTTTTGAGACAGAATATGTTTTCAGCGAAACAAAAGGAGGAAAAACACAGAATTACATATAAGAATATCCAGCAAGTCAAACAGGACACATTAAATTATTTATTTCCAGTTTTATCGGGAACAGATTAACATTTTATAACAGAAAACACTTTGAAACGTAGACAGTTCGTTGTCCATACACAATGAATACGGAATTGTAAAAATGATATAAATAAACCAGTATTATACCTAACTTTAACCTGTACTCTAGTTGACTGAGGGGGGCACGGGTGGCCCAGTCGTCTAGGGCGCCGCGATTCGCTGTGCAAAGTTGCGTCCCTTAGGCACGCCAGAAACCTATGATTGAGGGTTCGAATCCCGGTTCGCCCCGATTATGTTTCTAGGTTTGTCAGCACCATAACCATGCTCGTTGGTTTCACCGAAGTGATAAACGCCTGAGACCTGCATCACTTCGGGCTTTCCTTCCACATTAAGCTGACACGCCGTAATATGACTGGAATACTGTTAAAAGTGGCGTTAAACCAAACTCACTCACTCACTCACTCACTCTAGTTGACTGATGAAATGCACACTGACATTATGGCGATGCTTTGTTATGTCATACTATAGTCATTATCAACAAATCTTATTAAGATATTAACACACAATGCCTTTCAGAAAGTGGTCAAATGTAATAAATGTAATATTTGGGATAGCACTTACTGAAGAAAGTACAGGTTCTCGTACTTCTTGGGGGCTGAGTCCCGTCCGGGATTCGAACCCACATTGCCAGAGTGAGGCACCTAATCGCCAGCACACAAAGTCGGCGATCTAACCAACTCAGCCACCGAGGCTACCACAAAACAATGAAAGTCCAACAACTGGTAGTCTAGATCACGTACATTGTGTACCCCTTTGACATGTGTAATTTGGCACGGCTCCAATGGCCGAAAGCTATGAACACACAATGCCATTTAGAAAGTGGTCAAATGTAACAAATGTTGTATTTGGGATAACACTTTCTGATTAAAGTACAGATTCTGGTACCTTTTTTAATCTAATTAATGAGTGCAGTTGATGTTGCTTCCATGGACACCACAAGTTTGGGTGTGCGGGGGTGGGGGTGGGGTCTGGGATGGTTTTGTTTTGTTTTTTATCGCCGCACTCAGCAATATTCCAGCTATATGACAGCGGTCTGTAAATAATCGAGTCTGGACCAGACAATCCCACGCAATTGGGATCGATGACATGCATCAACCATGTCAGCGAGCCTGACCACCCGATCCCGTTTGTCGCCTTTGACGGCAAGCATGGGTTGCTGAAGACCTATTCTACCACGGATCTTCACGGGTCGTCTGGCATGGTAAAAACATTAGGCTAAATAAAACATTAGATAAAAAAATCTGGTTTTGCAGCTGAAGCTGTAAAAGTATGTAATCTCGACATTGCGCACCGTTGTAATATGGCAGCTGGACTGGTCAGAGCGGCGTTAGAATATACTTACTACTTATTAGCATGAACATCAACAAACCGGATCCCGGAACTCCGGGAACATTGCACCTTGCAAAAAATGGTTTAGTTAAGGACAGGTGATGTTTATCCGTTAGCTGACATCCCATCTTTACCAGGACCTATGACCTCCCTACAAATCGTGTTCGTGTTAGTTTTCATATAAACCTTCCCTTCCATTCTTTGAAAACATGTTACGATCGTCTAATAATGTTACAGCAACGTTATAAGCACCCCGTGGCCCCTCCATTCACTGCAGGATCCACTGCGTTTAGCTGTGTATGTCGTCTTAAATGTACTTAATGGTATATTTGTCAGAACATCCTACAAAGAAAGGATCCTGAGCACCAAACACATCAGGAGCCACGGGATACGGTGGAATATTTTACGCATTGACGGGTTCATATTCGAATCAATTCGTGACCCCTCCAGTCTCCAAACGAATCATTATGTCCGACTAGCCTACGCGTGCGCTGTATTAGGCTAAAACACTAGATCGCGGAGATCTGAGGATACCTCGACATCTTCATGTAGCTCAATCTTGATTTACATTTATCGTGGCGGTAAGGTCAGTGCGATACATCAAAGATTCAAATGTTGTTTTTCTTCTGACGAATTAGGCTTACGACGCATCAATGTTTCCTGGGCATCAAAAATTCTCCCTCTTATGTGATCAAGGGGGATAATGCATGCACTGACTTATAACCCAAATTAATGTGATTACTTTCAAAGTGTTGACATCGTTGATTAACGCCGCACGATATGACGGCGGTCTGTTAATAATGGAGCCTGGGCCAGAGAATTTATTGTTGGACATAATTTGCATCGATTCACGCAATTGGGATACGATGACATGGATCAACCAAGTCAGCGAGCCCGATCCCGTTAGTCGCCTCTTACGACAAGCACAGTCACCTTTTACGACAAGCATGGATTGATGAAGACCTGACCTGATCGGGATTTTCACGGGTTTCTTGCCATATATGGAGAGTATGCGTAGAGCATGAAGATGTCCCAACATAGAGGCGTCTCTGTGACGACAGCGTCAAGCCAGGGTAGGATGTCAACACATACAGGCGTTTCTATGACGACAGCGTCACGCCGGGTAGGATGTCACCACATACAGGCGTCTCTATGACGACAGCGTCAAGCCAGGGTAGGATGTCACCACATACAGGCGTCTCTGTGACGACAGCGTCAAGCCAGGGTAGGATGTCACCACATACAGGCGTCTCTGTGACGACAGCGTCAAGCCAGGGTAGGATGTCACCACATACAGGCGTCTCTGTGACGACAGCGTCAAGCCAGGGTAGGATGTCAACACATACAGGCGTCTCTATGACGACAGCGTCACGCCGGGTAGGATGTCACCACATACAGGCGTCTCTATGACGACAGCGTCACGCCGGGGTAGGATGACACCACATACAGGCGTCTCTATGACGACAGCGTCAAGCGAGGGTAGGATGTCACCACATACAGGCGTCTCTATGGCGACAGCGTCAAGCCAGGGTAGGATGTCACCACATACAGGCGTCTCTATGACGACAGCGTCAAGCCAGGGTAGGATGTCACCACATACATGCGTCTCTATGGCGACAGCGTCAAGCCAGGGTAGGATGTCACCACATACATGCGTCTCTATGACGACAGCGTCACGTCGGGTAGGATGTCACCACATACAGGCGTCTCTATGACGACAGCGTCACGCCGGGGTAGGATGTCACCACATACAGGCGTCTCTATGGCGACAGCGTCAAGCAAGGGTAGGATGTCACCACATACAGGCGTCTCTATGACGACAGCGTCACGCCGGGGTAGGATGTCACCACATACAGGCGTCTCTATGGCGACAGCGTCAAGCAAGGGTAGGATGTCACCACATACAGGCGTCTCTATGGCGACAGCGTCACGCCGGGGTAGGATGTCACCACATACAGGCGTCTCTATGACGACAGCGTCACGCCGGGGTAGGATGTCACCACATACAGGCGTCTCTATGACGACAGCGTCACGCCGGGGTAGGATGCCACCACATACAGGCGCCTCTATGACGACAGCGTCAAGCCAGGGTAGGATGTCAACACATACAGGCGTCTCTATGGCGACAGCGTCAAGCCAGGGTAGGATGTCACCACATACAGGCGTCTCTATGGCGACAGCGTCAAGCCAGGGTAGGATGTCACCACATACAGGCGTCTCTATGACGACTGCGTCAAGCCAGGGTAGGATACCACTTCCCTTCCACTGATACATCAATTGGAACTAAAAATACAGGAGACCAGTCAATTCGCTTAATCCGTTTCTTGTTTTGATTTATGCATATCGAGTCACAAAAGTGACAAAAAACTCCAAAAAAGACTATGACAAGAGGGATGACTTCCATTTTTCCTTATTTGTCGAGCAATATTCCAACAGCTGTACCCTCACAACTTTTCGGGGCAGTCGGGTAACCTAGTGGTTAAAGCGTTCGCTCGTCACGCCGAAGACCCGGGTTCGAATCCCGACATTGTTACGATTTATGGTGTCCCCCGCCGTGATATTGCTTGGATATTGATAAAAGAGACATAAAACCATTCTCACTCACGCACAGATTTTCAGTTACAATCGAGCATTATCTTTATACAATATTCAAGGCCTCAGTAAAGCTTTCAAAAAGTTTTATGGTAGACATGGCACTCGACTGTCGTGGGGGAAATGGATGTCAAGTCTTTCTATCGAATGTGGTTTTTTGTGTGCATCGTCAATATTTTCGTAGAATGGAATGGGCTTAGAATGTAAACATCGCCCCAAATATCATTCTGTAATCAATCATGATCGTTCCTTACAATATCGGTTAATTGGTAAATGTCCTCCACGTGAGATGCGTCTTTAATTCGACACTGTAATATATAAAAAAAACGCTATCTAGTTATCAATTTCTTTAAAGAAACATTTTTAGCATACAACATTCACCAATTAACACACATTTTATACATGCAACAAATCATTCAAACCTATATATCTCCGAGTAAATAAACTTGCCCTTCACGACGCAATCTGACAAAACAGTCTTAGTTATATGTCTGTCGTAACCCCGGGGCCGTCGGGTAGTTTAGTGGTTAAAGCGTTCGCTCTTCAGTCACCCCGAAGACCCGGGTTCGATTACCCACATGGGTACAATTTGTGAAGCCCATTTCTGGTGTCCTCCGCCGTGATATTGCTGGAATATTGCTAAAAGTTGCGTAAACCATACTCATTCACACTCTGTCGTAATTCCAGCAGTTTAACATAGCCCTACGTCAGACTATCGTATTATGAAACGGAACCAGGGTGAAAAAGGTTTGTGTATATTTCCAGTGTCCGTCCTGAAGAGCGAGCTAGAACGAGCTGTTCAGTTCTGCCCGGGGGTGAGGCTGGAATGTGTGGACATTGCCCAAGACGCTGAAGGAAGAGATAGACTGATTGCCGAACACGACGTCGTTGTGAGGTAGGTCAAGCTGTCTAGTTGTGAAAGACGATGGCGTTGGTATATTGTAGTTATTTGTTGCGCATTTTAAGCTTGGGGAATACACATGCCTTAAAAATACTTGAATCCCCCTTGGATGTTAACGGTTTATGTGTTGTCCCAGAGTGAGTGAAGTGACTAAGCAACAATCCAGCTACACCAATCGAATTTGGACAAGCAATAACTCGTCAAGGAAATCATGAGCAACAATGGCGGCTGTGTTAGGAGTTGCTGCTGTTGCCAGTGTAGTGCTTGTGTGTGATATTATGACTGTATTCGTGATACAGTAGCGACATGGTATGGTGTGAGTAGTTCACGTTGCTGCTGCAAGTGTAGTGCCTGTGTGTGAAGATTATCACTGTTTAGAGTGGACGTATAATCGCGATACACAAGCGACATGGCGGCGACATGAGTAGTTCACGTTGCTGCTGCAAGTGTAGTGCCTGTGTGTGAAGATTATCACTGTTTAGAGTGGACGTATAATCGCGATACACAAGCGACATGGCGGCGACATGAGGAGGTCACGTTGCTGCTGCAAGTGTAGTGCCTGTGTGTGAAGATTATCACTGTTTAGAGTGGACGTATAATCGCGATACACAAGCGACATGGCGGCGACATGAGGAGGTCACGTTGCTGCTGCAAGTGTAGTGCCTGTGTGTGAAGATTATCACTGTTTAGAGTGGACGTATAATCGCGATACACAAGCGACATGGCGGCGACATGAGGAGGTCACGTTGCTGCTGCTTGTGTTGTGTTTTCGTGGAAACAACACGAACACACAGAGCATGACTTTGCGATACACCAAGACACGTCATCGGTGTGGACAGTTCTCTAGTTTTACAAAGAGATTGCTATGATGTATCAAATAACAGCTAAGAAGCTTAATCAGTCTCGTTACATATGCTCAGCCTTACCAGGGACACATCTAGTAGGCTTCATAGGGTTCTTGAGACGCTAATGGAATATAGATATATCTTTCATGAACTTCAGCTGTCAATTGACTGATACTTTATAGTTCTGTTAAACTGCTTGAAATGGGATTTGCATCTTGATTATCAGCCCCTATGGAGAATTACTGGTTGTCGATATTACTCATCAGGGGCGCGGTAGCGGATTAACCCTGTTCTCGCCAGGGGGCATAGAAGGCCAATAAGTACAGAAAATACGACCTAATTTGTTCATAACGTAATTGAGTTTTGAGTTCTAAGGGGTTTTTCAAAATGAGTTTCGAAATCGAACTTCATTTCAAGTTATCATGAAAATTACTCGCCTGCAAGACACATGCTTCATGGAAGAAGGGGGGGAACGAGTTGACACTTAACATGGGAGTATTGTATTGTTATGTTTGTCCTTTCACCATGTGTACATGCAACAGTGGTAGTGACAGATGAATCTGCTGTATGTCAGGTTAAGATTCTGGAAACAATGTTAATAGCCAGTTTTTGCCCTGAGAAATTGGACTGATATATGTCGGTTCTTTTCCCATAGCCAGAATGCGGGGGTCCTTGGCGACTGATGCTGGCTTGTGCCAGAAACGTAATGTTTGAAACGTTTATAGCAGTAATGTAACAATTGAGATGTCTAAGCTACTACGAAAAAAAATTAATGATTTGAAATTTGAGAGCATGATTGTTTTTAAAGCCAAATCCAGTGTAATTCATCAAAGACGTCAAATTAACGACGCCCAATTAGAAATATTTATGAAAGTCTTTCGAGTTTTAGTCGGTCATTTTTCAGTCTCAAGGACTGTCACCATTCGTGACCAACTCGTGTTATTCCGGGACAAGCCGAATAGCGACTCGTGCCCCTTTCGTAGCCATTTTAGCGGCCGGGTTCCGTCTTAGCGCAAACGGGCATACCTAAAACAATTGTCATTTCGTTGCGTAATGGTTCACACATTTTCCCCATATATTATATATATTTCAGATGCAGTTTAAAGCACATCTGGGCGTGCGAAACTATACAGTATGATTGAACACATTTAACTGTGTCTTTGGTATATTTTTAGATGCAAGACATATGTAAAATCAAAAATTATTTCTGAGGGATTATTTGACAAAGAACTTGAAGCCATACGCGCATTCTGATTGGTTTGTCGTATTTTCGCACATAACATTCATTGATAGGGGGACGAGTCTTCTTGGAGGTTACGGAAAGAGGCGAGTGGTGACGAATGGGACTGTCTCTTTTCAATCTGTTCGTTTCAGTCTCAATGACTGTCATGTTTTCGGTCCGTGGTGTCATTTCTGTCTTTTTTCACCCTGTCGTGTTTCAGATGTTGACTTTCATTCTGTCATGGTTCAGACAATCGTGTTTCAGTCGGGCATGTTTCAACCTGTTGTGTTTCAGTCTAGTGCCGTACTCCCTGCTTCCTGACGTGTTTCAGTCTAGCGCCGTACTCCCTGCTTCCTGACGTGTTTCAGTCTAGTGCCGTACTCCCTGCTTCCTGACGTGTTTCAGTCTAGTGCCGTACTCCCTGCCTCCTGACGTGTTTCAGTCTAGTGCCGTACTCCCTGCTTCCTGACGTGTTTCAGTCTAGTGCCGTACTCCCTGCTTCCTGACGTGTTTCAGTCTAGTGCCGTACTCCCTGCTTCATGACGTGTTTCAGTCTAGTGCCGTACTCCCTGTTTCCTGACGTGTTTCAGTCTAGTGTCGTACACTCTGCCTCCTGACGTGTTTCAGTCTAGTGCCGTACTCCCTGCTTCCTGACGTGTTTCAGTCTAGTGCCGTACTCCCTGCTTCCTGACGTCGCCCGAGCTTGTCTCTCTCTGAGGAAACATCTGGTTACGACCAGCTACGTGGACGATGAAGTGAAGAACCTCCACCAAAAGTAACTCTTTGATTACGTCTGACCTTAGTAACCACCATTGACTTATGTAGTAGATGTACCACGCACTTCTTTTGTCACCAAATACTGGTAAACGGTTTGTTACTGTTCAGTATATAAGATCCCAACCTTGAATGTTGGATAAGAAAGCAAAGCATCTAGACTCAGTCTGTTTATCTGTTTATCTGTTTATCTGTTTAACTGTTTATCTGTTATCTCTTTGTTTCCAAGGTCAAGTATTGAAGATGAAAGAAGTTATTTCTTTTTTTCAGAGCATCTGAAGCGGGCTTGACCTTCCTGTGTGAAATGGGTCTTGACCCTGGTATTGACCATATGCTGGCCATGCGGACGTTCGATGACATCAAACAAAGAGGGGGGCGCGTAAGGCATTAACCGCATTTTAATCTAAGCTCACCTGACTGAAAGTCAAGGGAGCTTATGTCAAGGCCTATATGTCCGGCGTCCGGCGTCGACGTCACCACAAACTCCTGGAATAGTTAACCTGAAACTTCACATGTTTCTTCCAACAAATAATGATACAATAAACTACGTTTATAACGAACACGCTTATAACGAACTAGCCGATATAACGAACTCATTTTTTAGTCCTGGCCATTTGTTGTATATATGCTTATAACGAAATACGGTAAATTTTTATTAAATTAAACCGTTATTACGAACTAAAATAAGTGGTCCCTTTGAGTTCATTATAACCGTAGTTTACTGTACCTGAATTCGTTAAAGAGGTTTGAATCTGATTTTAGTGAGTGAGTATGGTTTTATGCCGCTTTTAGCAATATTCTAGCAATATCACGGCGGGGGACGCCAGAAATGGGCTTCAACCATTGTACCCATGTCGGGAATCGAACCCGGGTCTTTGGCGTGACGAGCGAACGCTTTAACCACTAGGCTACCCTCTGATTTTAACTATGGCAGCCACATTGAAAGAGCTTTTTGTGCCAACTGGTTAGACATTTCTGCTCACAAAGTGGTGAGTACCTGAAAATCTCAATTTGTATTTTCTCTGCAAACATCTCTGAAATTGCCACCCTAAAAAAAGATGAATTTTGACATGTAAGTTTTCCTTTTGATCGTAGTTTGTTAAAAGCATTCAGTGCTTCTTTTGTGTTGAACATTTGTGAAAACTGTATGATATTAGAAAAAGTATTCTCCCCATAAGGTAAAAGAAAAGAGGGATGTTGACATCGTACTCATCGATCCACACAATCTGGATACGATGCGTGCAATCAACCAAGTCACCGAGCCTGAGCACCCGATCCATTGGGTCGCCCCACGGGTCCAGGCAGGTGCCATCAGTGCAGGCTTTCTTTCCTCCACATATGCCTGACACGCAGCAATGTTTCTAATATACCGTAAGGTTCAAAGAGGCGTAAAAATAAATCACATTTTCACTGATTTAATCGCGTCGTATCTATTTAGCAGTGAGGTTAGTTTAACATTATTGCTCCATAGTCAGACAGACTGCACGCTTCAGCAACCTCAAATTAATTCTGATCACCATGATAGTCGGCGTCTAGACTTACTTATACGTTTTGGCTCGTTTGAGAGAAGATACGAGTTTCTACGAATGTTCTAAACAGTATACTCCGTACAGATGGAGTTGCTTTTCACTACAGATATTAAAACATAGTGCCATTAAACTGTAGCCCACATAGAGTGAGTGAGTGAGTGAGTTCGGTTTAACGCCGCTTTTAACAGTATTCCAGTTATATCGCGGCGTGTCAGCTTAATGTGTGAGGAAAGCCCGAAGTGATGCAGGTCTCAGACGTGTACCACTTCGGTGAAACCCACGAGCACGGGTATGGTTCTGACAAACCTAGAAACATAATCGAGGCGAACCGAGTCTAAAAACACAGAGCCACTCAACAAAACTTGCTGTCAACATTAGAACTGAAATATTTCTGCACAAATACAGATGGCATAGGTAACTAAATTTCACAGTGTTTCTATATCTTTAAGAATGAATTTACTGTTGTTCATATTGTCAATCACTTGTTTGTCTGGTCCTGACTCGATTATTTACAAACCCGAGTCGTATAGTTGGAATATTGCGGCGATAATTACAAAGTTAACACACAAAGAAAACAAACTGATATAGTTTATGACATCGCTGAAACCTACGACCAGGAGCCATACCGACACCCAAGGATCATATTCGGATCAAAGATAGGATCATGGCACTACAAGTAAAACCCGGAGACAGAAGTACACGATAAATGTAGGGACGTTTCAAGAATGTTTCCAATGTCAGCTCGCCCCGTGAATATCCGGGTTAGAATTGGTCTTCAGCAACCCAGCTAATCGTAAGAAGCGACTAACGGGATCGGGTGGTAAAACAAGCCGCTTACTTGATGAACGTCATCGTATCCCAATTGCGTAGGTCGATGCTCATGATGCAAGTTACTGGATTGTCTGATGCAGACTCGATTGCTTACAGACAGCCGTGGGCGATTTATACCTGTCCTGTTTTATTTGCATATTATTCGTGAACGACCTCAACGGATACCGTTTTTATCCCTTGGCTTTATCCTGCCGAAAAAAAACCTATCCATTATATGATAACTATTATTCACGTAATGATCTATGGGGGCTTTGTCTGGTCTATAAATCTCGGAAGATGAGGTAATTGCTCAGTAAGTTGGTTGACAGGCTACTGGTATGACAGATCATTGTCATCATATCTTTCTTTCTGATAAATCGTTTTCAGTCTATTAACCTTTCAACTGTCATAGAAACCAGTCTCGTTGATGATGAATGGTGATTGTAGGAAGCAGTGTTTATACAAGTTACTGTCCTCACTTTTAATTGGTTTATGGTCGAGGATTCTTTTCTGTGTTGTTTTCATCAGGATGGTCATGTGATAGATGATGCAATGAGTTACATGACTATTTTTCTTTGACCTTCAAGAAACCGGCTTCGTCATACACATTTTCATATTTGGACTTAAAACATTTAAAAACTGTAAAGTTCAGATTTATTATGTGCGTGCTGCTGAGAAGAAGTAATTAAATCCAATTATGCTCAAAATTGGTGTTATCACGTTACAATTCGTATATTTTTATGCTTTGCCCTGTTTCAGTATGCGGTTGTTGCTGTTCAAAATTTGTGTTTAACGCGATGATTGGTCAGATTAGGTTCCTTAGATTCGATCTCCCAGAAAGCAAACGGTCGGGGGTTCGATCCCCACCCGGTGTACCCAAAAGACGTTAAAAGATGGCATTTGTTGTTACCCTGCCTGGTGCTCTGCATTAAGGAGCTAAAACAAGGTCTGGTCGGCTCGGAGACAGTATACTGTGTGAAGTGAAGAGATCACCCGTTTAATATACATACAACTGTATTGCATACTGTGTAATACCAAAGCACGTGGTTATGTCCTGCGGGAACAAGTTTCACTAACAAATATTGAACTCCCCACATCCCTTGGCTTATTCAACGACACTGCATGTGGAGATGATAGATCACTGAGAGGAGCTTATGCACGCTCGATGACCCCAGATTGTAAACTTTGTGGCGCAGCGCCCAGTTCCACAAGGCGATCGTAGCGCAACGACAGTCGTAAGTCTTTGAGTAGAGGTAGCTATAGTAGCTCTGTGGAACGGACTCCTGAATTCTAAAGGTAGGCCGTTGTTTTCTTAAACTCAATAGGATTATCGCGTAGATATGTCTGCCTATTCACAAACGACAGTGGATTTTTAAAAAGGTTATAAGCGGCAAGTAAGAAATAAATACTAAACGAGCTCCCGTGTAATACCAATTTTATGAAACTCGTATATAGTTCTGGTATTACACGGTAGCTCGTTTATTATTCTATATTAAACTGGTATCTCAGTGGGCAAGCACTTTAAAATTGGCATTAGTCGGGACCAGGACAAGAGAGCGCACAATACGCAATACAGTTTCGCAATGAAGGGACACCCACTGTGTAACGAGTGCTGTCAGCAATGTATGTTTCAGGTGACGTCCTACGAACTATGGTGTGGCGGACTCCCGGCCCCAGAATGTGCAGACAATCCTCTCAAGTACAAGTTCAGGTAAGATAGGCAACACGCTGTCGGAGGATGTGCAGGAACGTTGACATTGCAAAAATCGACATAGCTGTAGAGACCCTCAGACTGTCGGGGGGATGCACACACAGGTAGATAGACATTGCAAACATCGGCACAGCTGGAGAGACCCTCAGACTGTCGAGTAGATGCACACACAGGAAGATTGACATTTCAAACATTGGCACAGCTGTAGAGACCCTCAGACTGCCGGGTTGATGCACACACAGGAAGATTGACATTTCAAACATTGGCACAGCTGTAGAGACCCTCGGACTGTCGGGTGGATGCACACACAGGAAGGTTGACATTTCAAACATCGGCACAGCTGTGGAGACCCTCAGACTGCCGGGTTGATGCACATACAGGAAGATTGACATTTCAAACATCGGCACAGCTGAAGAGACCCTCGGACTGTCGGGTGGATGCACACACAGGAAGATTGACATTTCAAACATTGGCACAGCTGTGGAGACCCTCGGACTGCCGGGTTGATGCACACACAGGGAGGTTGACATTTCAAACAGTGGCACAGCTGAAGAGACCCTCAGACTGTCGGGTGAATGCACACACAGGAAGGTTGACATTGCAAACATCGGCACAGCTGTAGAGATCCTCAGACTGTCGGGTGGATGCACATACAGGAAGATTGACATTTCAAACATCGGCACAGCTGGGTAGACCCTCAGACTGTCGGGTTGATGCACACACAGGAAGATTGACATTTCAAACATCGACACAGCTGGGTAGACCTTTAGACTGTCGGGTGGATGCACACAAAGGAGGATTGACATTGCAAACATCGACACAGCTGTAGAGATCCTCAGACTGTCGGGTGGATGCACATACAGGAAGATTGACATTTCAAACATCGGCACAGCTGTAGAGACCCTCGGACTGTCGGGTGGATGCACACACAGGAAGATTGACATTTCAAACATCGGCACAGCTGTAGAGACCCTCAGACTGTCGGGTGGATGCACATACAGGAAGATTGACATTACAAACATCGCACAGCTTTAGAGACCCTCAGACCGTCGGGTGGATGCACACACAGGAAGATTGACATTGCAAACAGTGGCACAGCTGAAGAGACCCTCGGACTGTGAGGTTGATGCACACACAGGAAGATTGACATTTCAAACAGTGGCACAGCTGTGGAGACCCTCGGACTGTGAGGTTGATGCACACACAGGAAGATTGACATTTCAAACAGTGGCACAGCTGTGGAGACCCTCGGACTGTGAGGTTGATGCACACACAGGAAGATTGACATTTCAAACATCGGCACAACTGTAGAGACCCTCAGACTGTCGGGTGGATGCACACACATGAGGATTGACATTTCAAACATCGGCACAGCTGTAGAGACTGTCGGGTGGATGCACACACCGGAAGATTGACATTTCAAACATTGGCACAGCTGTGGAGACCCTCGGACTGTGAGGTTGATGCACATACAGGAAGATTGACATTTCAAACATCGGCACAGCTGTAGAGACCCTCAGACTGCCGGGTTGATGCACACACAGGAAGATTGACATTTCAAACATCGGCACAGCTGAAGAGACCCTCAGACTGTCGGGTGGATGCACACACCGGAAGATTGACATTTCAAACATCGGCACAGCTGTGGAGACCCTCGGACTGTGAGGTTGATGCACACACAGGAAGATTGACATTTCAAACATTGGCACAGCTGTGGAGACCCTCGGACAGTGAGGTTGATGCACACACAGGAAGATTGACATTTCAAACAGTGGCACAGCTGTGGAGACCCTCGGACTGTGAGGTTGATGCACACACAGGAAGATTGACATTTCAAACAGTGGCACAGCTGTGGAGACCCTCGGACTGTGAGGTTGATGCACACACAGGAAGATTGACATTTCAAACATTGGCACAGCTGTGGAGACACTCGGACTGTCGGGTGGATGCACACACAGGAAGATTGACATTTCAAACATCAGCACAGCTGAAGAGACCCTCAGACTGTCGGGTGGATGCACACACAGGAAGATTGACATTTCAAACATCGGCACAGCTGGGTAGACCCTCGGACTGTCGGGTGGATGCACATACAGGAAGATTGACATTTCAAACATCGGCACAGCTGAAGAGACCCTCAGACTGTCGGGTGGATGCACACACCGGAAGATTGACATTTCAAACATTGGCACAGCTGTGGAGACCCTCGGACTGTGAGGTTGATGCACACACAGGAAGATTGACATTTCAAACATTGGCACAGCTGTGGAGACCCTCGGACTGTGAGGTTGATGCACACACAGGAAATTTAACATTTCAAAACTCAACAGTAAAACACAAATACACACATTTCAATCGTATTTTGAGCTGCCACGGTTGTGATGGAGGTGTGCGGTTTGCTCGTTCATACTACCAAAGTGGTGAACGTCTTAATACCAGCATCACTTTCCTCCCACATGAAGCTGATATAACAGTTTAAAGCGGCGTTAAACCCAATTCACTCACTCAGTCACTCACTCAGTCACTCACTCAGTCACTCAGTCACTCACTCGTTCATACGTTTTTTAGTTCTGTGATATATTGAGCTACTCTCGGCTACGGACGCAGCTGCACTCGCTCACTCTTTCTCCAACCAGTTGTCGACCCATGAAGATCCGGGGTAGAATAGGTCTTCAGCAACCCGTGCTTGCCGTAAAAGGCGACTATGCTTGTCTAAAGAGGCGACTAACGGGATCGGGTGGTCAGGTTCGCTGACTTGGTTGATGCATGTCATCGATCCCAATTGTGTGGATCGATGCTCATGATGTCAATCACTGGATTGTCTGGTCCAGACTCGATTATTTACAGACCGCCGTCTTATAGCTGGAATATTGCTGAGTGCGACGTTAAACAACAAACAAACAAAAATCCAACCCGTTGTCTGTAGCACGCACTCACGCAATCTCAACCACTTACTTTTACTCACGCTCATACACACTCATACGCGTATCAAGCTTATCGTTATGACATATGCGACACCAACATCACATGATTATATTCCAATATATATTTACAAATTGACTTTCACTTCATTGGAGTATGAACCTTCACCAAGTTTCTGCAGTACCTCATTCTTTCCAAACAAATCAATCATCCCAATCCATGCAGAAATGACCAATCATTTTTGGTATTAATTTTGTGTTGGTGTCGGCGACACTCTGCCATGTATTTACGATTTCACTGCTTTTGCGGGTTTTGTTTTCTTTGCAACGTATATATTGAAACACACAATTTAAAGTTTTCAATCACAGAAGCATGTCCTCATATCCCAGTTGCGTGCGTCGATGCTCAGGATATCAATGACTGGATTGTCCGGTCCAGACTCGATTATTTACAGACAGTCGTCATGTAGCTAGAATATTGCTGAGTGCGGCGTTTACCAACAAACAAACAAAATGAAATGCTTTTATTAAGTGGTTTATGAGCGTCATTTTCGCGGTCATGTGACCGGACTCTTCTAATGGAAAACCAGTAAATCGTGTAAACTTCAAATTAAAAAATATTCCAAATTAACCTGACATGTCCTCAGAGATCTAATATTTATAATACATTCGAAAAATATTTTGTTTGTTTGTTGTTTATCGCTACACTCAGCATTACAACAGCTGTAGGACGACAGTCTGCAAATCATGGACATCCTGAGCATTGATCTACGCATTGGGGATACAAAGACATGAATCAACCAAGTTCGTTAGACAATGTCTGGTTTTGATATGTCCTTGTCATTGATAAACTACATCGCATTCAGATTTAGATTCAGGTAAACTATTAATCTTGCTTTCCCGTGTTTCAGCTGGTACCCACGTGGTTCACTGTATGCGTGCTGCCGGGGAGGAGGATACTTGAAAGACAGACAGGTGAGGGGGTGGGGATATATGGTGAGGGGGTGGGGATATATGGTGAGGGGTGGGATTATATGGTGATGGATGGGGATATTTGTGAAGGCTTGGGGAAATATGGTGAGGGGTGCTGATGTTTGGTGAGGGGGTGGGATATTTGGTGAGGGGGTGGGGCTGTTTGTTATGTTTTGTAAACGGTGGGGATATTTGGCGATTGAACGGTCCTTAAGCTAATGACTGACTTCTCTGAAGCCATTTAACGGAAGTTAACGCCGTATTGAACAATATTTCAATTATGCCAGGGCGTGTCATCACAATGTAGAAAGAAATCAAAACTTGGACCCAAAAGCATGGTGAATATAATACTGACAGACCAGGAATCATTATAGGGGTTAAGATGGAGTTCGAACCCAAGACCAGCGGAGTTATTGAAATACGTTGTAAAAAGAAAATATTTCGTAACGATATATCTGCAAAACACGGTCAAATGATATTTTAACATAGGCTAACGATACTAGTATCGGAAAGATCGTTTTGTGGAACTGCGCCCCGGTGGATCGCCTCGTACCGTAGACCGACGGCGTGAAACGGACTCGTTGCTGTCACTATCAACCGCTGGTTCGCCGTGTCCAAACTGTATCTTCTACAATCCTCCGTGATATAAGTGTACGTTGCTGACCGCAGTCTAAAACAGTGTCACATGCTTCTTCAGGTTGCAGACATCCCCGAAGGGCCTTCCCTTGTAGAGTCTGTGCAAGATCTGGACTTCACCCCGGAGTTCAAGGTGGAGGGGTTCCCCAACATGTACAACCCCGCCTACCTGACGCTGTACGGAATACAGACTGTCGACAACTTCCTTAGAGGCACGCTGAGATACAAGGTACTTGTGTGTAGTTCTGTACCGAGGTACGCTAAGATACTAGGTACATATGTATAGTACTGTACCGAGGCACACTTAGATAAAAGGTACATGTGTGTAGTTCTGTACCGAGGTACGCTAAGATACTAGGTACATATGTATAGTACTGTACCGAGGCACACTTAGATACAAGGTACATGTGTGTAGTTCTGTACCGAGGTACGCTAAGATAGTAGGTACATATGTATAGTACTGTACCGAGGCACACTTTGATAAAAGGTACATGTGTGTAGTTCTGTACCGAGGTACGCTTAGATACAAGGTACATGTGTGTAGTTCTGTACCGAGGTACGCTTAGATGCAAGGTGCATCTGTTGTCGGTACCTTAGTCACAGATCTGGGGACCCTGGTGGAAAGAAAGCCAGCGTTTCTTACAACGAACGGAGAGATCTTTTCCTTGGCATCTGTCATAATCAATTCCTCTTAATGCAGGGAATTTTGACAAATTTACCGGCAATATCCATACTCTTGTACAGATTCCTAACGTAATTACAAGAGGAGGGGGTCACTTGCCACTAACAGTCGGACGTATTGACACCAATTGCAATCAGTTCAGACAAATGCAGGAACTATAAGTACAAAACAGACACGAGGTGCCTGAAGTATGTACATGCACGTGTTTTTATGGTTTCGTTCTGTTACAGGGTTTCAGCGCCCGTGTGCTTGGCTTGATGAAGCTAGGTCTGTTTTCCGTGTCCCCTTTTGGTTTGCTGCAGGCGGGATCCCGGGGAGTAACCTGGGTAGGTAGCAGCGCCCCTGTAGGGATGCCAGAATAGGCCCCCTATCCCCCAAATTGAAATTCTCCATGGCGATTTGCAGGTGCCGCACGTACGTAACTAAAGTTACCACCATTCGTGAGCAACTCGTGTTATTCCGGGACAAGCCGAATAGCTTCTTGCAGGTTACGGAAAGGGGCGAGTGTTGACGAATGAAGTTACCACGAGTCGTTTATTTCTTACATGAGATATCATTATTTACAGCCTCTTTGAGGATGATGATGAAATGTACAAGCTTTATAATATTTACCCGTATCTTAATAATAATTACTCACTCCATAGAGTCCGATCTGGTAAGCGACGCTTTGATTGGTCGGGTGAAAGGTCGTTCTGACGTGACCCGTAATGGCATGTCCTCAGATCTTTGTTAAGCGGCAGCGAGGACTTAGATCTGATTTTAATGAGATTGGTGTTCGAATCTCCAGAAATGATAGAACAATGTTTTATGGTGAAATAAACCACACTTCGTTCTTCATTGTTCTTTGCGATTTATCACGTAGCTATCTTTTATATATATAGCAGTCAATGCTTGTCGTAAGAGACGAACAGGATCGGGTGGTCAGGCTCTCATTGTATCCAAGTTGCCTGGGCGGTAGGATAGCCTAGTGGTTTAAGCGTCTGTTCGTCACGCCGAAGACCCGGGTTCGATTCCCCACATGGGTACAATGTGTGAAGCCCATTTCCTGGTGTCCCCCGCCGTGATATTGCTGGAATATTGCTAAAAGCGGCGTAAAACCATATTCACTCCCCCCCCCCCCCCCCCTGTTGCCTAGATCGGTGCTCGTGATGACAATCACTGGATTGTTAGGTCCAGACCTGCTCATTTACAGACCGCCGTAATATTGCTGGAATATTGCGGCGTTGAACTACAAACAAATGCGAAACATGGGTACCACACCGAGGAGCAGTGGTCCCCTTTGACAGATCGGCCACATCATTACTTGCCAAGGGATAATGGATAACTTTTCTTTGGCAGAGTGCGTTTAGATTAAGTCCTGGAACTGAAATGTAAACGTTAATTTATGTTTTAGAATTGCACACGTTTTTCTTTAGTGTATATCTGGGACAAACTGAAGTCATTCAAATGCCCCATTTGACACTGTGTCAATGGCAAAGTAAAATTATACAGCAGTAATGTTGATATGTATTAGAATGTTTCATATTAATCTCAGCTTCTTTTTTTTCGAAGAGGAAGTTTATTTGCAACGAGTTGGGACTGAGCGATGACGTCACGACAGAACATCTGGAGTCAAAGGTCAAGGATAAAGCTGTAGGTCAAGAAGAACTGGAGGTCATAAAAAGGTAATTTACATCATTGTATTACACTTTGGATGTTACACCAGTGCAGTGAATGAAGATGACGCCGTTTTCTGTGATGTCCAGATTATTAAGTGTATGAATTATTGAGGAACGTGGGCTCTTTCTATTAACCACTGGTACGCATGGCCAGGGTCGATCATTACAGGCCGGGGGGCACGGATGGCCCTGTCGTCTAAGGCGCCGCTATTCACTTTGCAGAGGCTTGCCAGAAACGTATGATCGTCGGTTCGAACGCAGGTTCGCCCTGATTATGTCTCTATGTTTATCAGCACCATACCCGCGCTCGTGGGTTTCACTAAAGTGGTAAACCCAACTCACTCACCCAGTCACGAGTGTGGAGAGTATCCTTGTGTAGAAATTCCTGCTTAACGATGTTTCACTGTACACCCTTTGTGTAACAAAATAATACGGGATCGATCTCAATGTCAAACTGATTATGCCATAAGTTACTTGTCAATACCGTACAGTTGATCTTACAGGTTGGGTTTACTAGAGTCTGAAGAGATCGAGGCAAAAGGCACACCGCTTGATACGCTAGCTAACTACTTGGAGAAGAGACCGGAGTTCATGTTTGGTGAGTTCCGAAATATTTGACACTGCATATTTCAAGAATGACAAGCACCTTGTGCCAGGACGAGCTGTGACGAACTCTCTACCTGAAAGTAACGTTACTCTGTACGGCATCAGGACAGGTTCCAAGTCTACCTCCATAGTTGAGCCATTTGGTGCTAACACTATACACAGCGTATTACAACCTATTTGTGTTAATAAATGGGTACGTTATGAAGAGGCATTCCTAAGCCCTCAAGAGTGAGTGAGTATGGTTTTACGCCGCTTTTAGCAATATTCCAGCAATATCACGGCGGGGGACACCAGAAATAGGCTTCACACATTGTACCCATGTCGGGAATCGAACCCGGGTCTTCGGCGTGACGAGCGAACGCTTTAACCACTAGGCTACCCGACCGCCCCCTAAGCCCTCAGGAGTAATACGAGGGGTGACTGAGAAGTTCTGAGCGTTGCTACAAAGGATGTATAGTACACCCTTATCAGTTTGCATGTATGGATTACCTACCATGCTAACAGGCTGCATTTGAACCAAACACACATCCCGGCAGCATATTTCTCCAGGGATCAAAGTGACTAGGTATTCATGCAAAGGACATGATTGACTACCCTGCATTCACCAAGTATCTTCAACTGAGTGAGTGAGTTGGGTTTAACGCCGCTTTTAACAGTATTCCAGTCATATCACGGCGTGTCAGCTTAATGTGGGAGGAAAGCCCGAAGTGATGCAGGTCTCAGACGTTTACCACGTTGGTGAAACCCACGAGCACGGGTATGGTGCTGACAAACCTAGAAACATAATCGGGGCGAACCGGAATTCGAACCCACAATCATAGGTTACTGGCGTGCCCAAGGGACGCAACTCTGCACAGCGAATCGCGGCGCCTTAGACAACTGGGCCACCCGTGCCCCCCATCTTCAACTGAATGGGCTTCAACAGCCACCCGTGTGGACATGGTGGCAACTTTAGGGAATGATGCTTATTCCTTTGCCTCTGGAAGACCTTCACCTGACACCATTGACAAGAAAAATGTTAATAAAATGCAGAATATAATTATGAGTGGACTGGCAACATGTCACGTAGCTAATGCAGAGATAGCTCAAAACTGGGCTTGAACTGGGTATGACTGGGTATGACAAAGGTTTCAGCATGCTGGGTTTCCTGGCCTCTGACTCCAGGTTCATCATGTCTCATAGGAATTTAGGTCGTTGAGCGATTTGTAACCATTGATGGGTCTTTGGTTAACCACCATCAGCCAGTGACTAAACAACAAAGCGGTGGAAACATCTAACGTCTCCTCCGAAGAAGAAGGCAAAGTATGTTCCACGAGCTGGCAGTTTTCTGTGGTTTTTAAAGGTAGCCTACTACTGGACTGACTACCTGGCCAATGGCCAATGGCCAATGTCATGCTAATCTGCTAGAGCAAGAGCGTGAGAATGTCAAGGCTAAACGTCGTGGAAGACTCACTGAAGATGTGTTGTTCCCCCGGGACAATGCATCTGTGCACAAGTATGTTGTCGCCATGACTGCAATGCATGACTTTGACCTGATCAAACATCCTCCGTATTGACCAGATTTACCACCGTCATATTATCACCTCTTCCCAAACTGGTAAGCATTATGTAAATGATGCCAACGTCATTATTGCTGTGGAGGTCGTTTTACATCACCAGTAGGAAACATCATACACCACTGGGATCCAGGTAGACTAACATCTAGTCTCTGAAATGAACATATCGTACAGAAAAAAACAGTTGTTCGGTTATCTTAATAAAAATATAATAAAAGGGAACCCAGTGACTCTCTTCATTTCCTGGTACTGCAGTAATCTAGACTTGCCAAACATTATAGTCTTGCATGGGCTGTATTTGATATATATTTGTATCAGGGTCTGTAAGACAGACTAGGATCCAGGCACTCCAGCATCACTGGCAGAAGTGTGTGGACCTCCGAGGGGATTATGTTGAAAACATTAAGTAAGAAACTCATCAAACTCATACCACCAACGCAGTCCATCATATTTTGAAATCATTGTTAGGCTCAGAACCATTCAGACACCAATCGTAACCCAAAATAGAAATGCAGTCATGGCGACACAGCTCGCCAAGTAGTTTCTGTCAGATAACTTTTATTGAGAGCAGAAACTCATGAAGGCATGAAGACCATTTCAGTTTAATCTCCACATTAACTATACACATTTGAATAATGCCCGGGTCCAAACGATAAAAACCCGAACATGTTTTTGGAATCCCCGGCGAAGTTTGACGTCGTAATATTCAACGTCCAATACTTGATTGTAAGGTATGGTTGTATGTTTTGGGGTTCTCGCCAGACTAACCTCCTAAAATATTACACATGAATGACAATTCATCGCCAAACCTCCCGATTGTCCTTCAGGTCCGGATGAACGCGACCTTGTTCTGATGCACATCGAGGTGTCAGGAAGTTTCCCCGACGGTTCCCGCGAGGACCGGAAGTTGGACATGGCGGTGTTCGGAGATGTGGGGAGACATTCCGCCATGGCTAAAACAGTAGGTCACGTGGTCGCAAGTGGAGCCATGTTGCTGTTGAACGGTAAGCAACTGGGGAATATTTGTGTCTCCATAAGTGTTCCAGAAGTCCCGCCGTAATGCATGTATCTTGTTTGCCATCACCTCTCGACACCAACCCCTATGACTCTTTACGTATATATTCTCCGTCAATGGTTTCTTGTGAAAATATATTCATGAACCAAAACCAGAAGGCTGTAACAAAATGAAAGAAAAAATGAAGAAATATCATGGTGAAGACAAAAAAATGAAAAAACATACAATAACAGGCAGTTACTGGCCAACTTGACCAATTATCAACTGTAAATGTTTGAAAATGGACGTTTTTGTGTGGCTCTCTATTATTTACAACAGACTTTGTTCCGTGTTAATGAGTTATCAGAGTATGAAAATATTAACATTATCATTTTCGATAGAGTCCATAATTATTACCCCTTTATTTTTTCAAGGGGAGATAACCGAGCGAGGAATCGTGCTTCCGGTCTCTCGCAGCATCTATAAACCTCTACTGTCGGACCTGGAGAAGAAGGGAGTCAGTTTCACAGACAGGAAGGCCTAATGCATATGTACAGTCGCATCATAGTTATTTCTATAGGAGGACAGGTTGAAGATATAACAATAGAAAACTGATTCTGTCAAAAGACATTGAGACATATTTTATTGATATTAAAAGGACAATATTCAGGTTCACGACGCGCTTTCAATAAACATATTTTCAGACAGCAGACAATATTGAAAAGTACAGTATACACCTTTTGCTTGATAGTGGCTAAAAATGAAACAAACAGGAAATTGTTAATCGATGGTGATGTATTTGATACGGGTGTCATGGTCGTGATTTGGTCCTTAAAGGGGATCTGATTCTCTGACAATTCACCGGGACTGCTTGTTACCTTTGTTATTGTTTTCCCGTAGATACCCGGATGATATCTCGTAAATCTCGACTAGTTCTCGACCTATTCTGCGCCAACTCTAAGCGCATTTGTCGCTTTTATTGACAGTATAAGGTCGTATCGTCACATTGATCAACAAAATGAAATACAGTTTCGTCTTGGAAATAATTAAGAAATGTAGGCATCCTGATTGTGCAAAGAAACATTAGTCTTCAGAGTGTATTCTTATTATGGTGAACATGTCTTTAAAAACGAGAGCGAACTTTTACTAATTGAGAACGTGTGACCCCAAATATTTGTTGCGTTTAAATACGGCCAACCTGTTTTAGGTTTGCGAGTTTGTTCAGATTTTACGACGCTTCAATCCTTGTCATGCCGAAAGACAGGCGCAAGGTAACATGTCGAAGATTTAAGCATTCCGCTGTTAAGTACAACGTATTGTTCATTTCTCTATTTGCTCCCATACCTCAAGAATCTAGTCAATGTCAATGCTGCCTCTTATTATATGAATCTGCAGCCACAGAACCAATGTTATAATTGCAAAGAAAACAAATGATAACGCATTCGGGTTCAATGTCGCTTCTGTGTCTTTGTAATTAAAAAAAACGAACATTTGTCATCCTCGAAACTATTATCTCTTTACCAAGTTCTTCTTATCCGAATTGATGTTATACGCTGTTAAGTTTTTGACTTTACACCCCACCTATTTCAATACGAATTGCGTACACAAGAACACATGCTGAAGAATTATGAACTACAACATGACCAGTGATTGTCTCACGCAAGTAGACCGCCTCCGTGGTCCTGTGGTAGAGCGTCCGCCCGGAGAGCGGAAGGTCCGGGGTTCGATCCCCAGCCGCGTCATACCAGAAGACGATAAAATATGGTACTTGTTGTTACCCTGTCTGGCGCTCGGCATTAAGGGGCTAAAACAAGGACTGGTCGGCTCGGAGTCAGTATACTGTGTCTGAGTGGGGTATTCATGTTAAACTGCGGCATGGTATCTCAGTGAGCTAGCACCATAAATCGGCATCAGTCCGGACTAGTACAAGCAGCCACACAAACACATACTCGTACATGCACGTCGCTATATAAGTGCAATAATCTTGGACGCGACGTTAAACCCAATTTCACCTCACCACCTCACCTCACGCAAGTAATGTTATGTGTTTGGTAACCATCTACACCTATTACGCTTCCGAACAATACAAAATCTAACGGATCTAACGGATCTGTATACACTGGCATGAAGGCAATATCTACCATTTCCCAAATGCTAATTGTCATGTTTGTGTACGTCTTTCCATTGGTTCTTACTCACTGGTGTTAACTAATTTAAAAAAAAAAAATACTGAAACCCACTTGCTCATTGAGATCATGGTAAGGTTACCTTGGTCTCACTATTCATTAAATATTATCCATAGAGCATACGTGCATAATACTAAAATATTACATTAATGCATTCGTAATTATCCGTTCAGTAACACTCTGGCGACATTGATTATTAACATGAGCAGATATGAAGAAACAAATGTGAATATCATCATGACACTTCTCTTATCAGTGGGGGCACGGGTGGCCCAGTCGTCTAAGGCGCCGCGATTCGCTGTGCAGAGTTGCGTCCCATGGGCACGCCAGAAACCTATGATTGTGGGTTCGAATCCCGGTTCGCCCCGATTATGTTTCTAGGTTTGTCAGCACCATACCCGACTTCGTGGGTTTCACCGAAGTGGTAAACGTCTGAGACCTGCATCACTTCGGGCTTTCCTCCCACATTAAGCTGACACGCCGTGATATAACTGTAATACTGTTAAAAGTGGCGTTAAACCCGACTCACTCACTCTCTTATCAGTGATAACAATCTCTTCTTGAGCATCATCATGCGCAGTGTTGTCAGGCTGCCAGATGTACACTGGTATTTGAATTAAAATGTATATAAAGATTGCATATCAAAGCACTATATACACCGATAAAACTGCCAGGCAGTGTTATCTATCTACATGCTCGGTATACTATTCTATTGGAGACGGGTGTTTAACAAACAAAGGGGAACATTTAATATTACAAATCAATCGGTTTGCTTTATAAATGAGTTCATTTCACAATAATGATATAAGAAAAGATAAACTTTTACAGTGATGGTTGGTTGTTTGGTTGTTTGGTTGGTTGTTTAACGCCGCTCTCAGCAATATTCCAGCTATATGACGGCGGCCTGTAGATAATCGAGTCTGGACCAGACAATACAGTGATTGATATCATGAACATCGATCCACGCAATTGGGATCGATGACATGCATCGACCAAGTCAGCGAGCCTGACCACCCGATCCCGTTAGTCGCCTCTTACGACAAGCATAGTCGCCCTTCACAGCAAGCATGGGTTGCTGAAGACCTATTCTACCCCGGATCCTCACGGGTCTGTGATGTACACCACTATACCATCACAGGGCCATGTGGTCTTTCTTATAAACATATTTATTGGGATCGCTATTAAGTAAGAGACTTCTTTCTATAGGCATTTAAACCTATTGTGAGGTTTTACTTTCCAGTCGGGTTAAATCTCATAAACCGTTGTAATGTCCCTGGGATTTTATATAATATCCCAGGGATTTTATAGGATATTCAAGTCATATTTGCTATAATATCCCAGGGATTTTATATAATGTCCTGGGTATTTTATTAATATAACTTCCGTTCAGATTGTAACATGTAGTGAAATGTAAAATCAAATGACAAATGTTTTCTTTATATTTCCGAGGATCTAACTCGCAACCTTTATATCTGTAGCCCAGTAAGTGTACCACAAGGCTACAGAGGTGTTGATAAGCCTCACTGGTTTTTAGAATGTCCTTTTCAAGATCCGTACGCCAGCAACAGATATTTTACGCGCGTTTCCTAAGGTTCATGGAAAGTATGTTCGAAACATAAAAATGTTGATAAATGTTGTTTTAAGTTTCTTTTTTCGGTTTATAAGTATGGAAAAACACTTTCCCTCGGTTTTGGTAGACAGAGCATGCCCTGGGGGTCGGGAAAAAAACGCGGGGGCTTCGCCCCCTTGCTTTTTCCCTCTCCCCAGGGCATGCTCTGTCTACCAAAACCTCGTGCGCGTGTTTTCTCCAATACATAAAATACAATGGTTGGTGTTCCTTTCTCCAGTGAAGGGACTTAAACACATCACTATCCATGACCTGAGCCGAAATGTATAAGACAAGCTGTCACATACAGTAATTGGCAGAATAATTCGATGGTTCTAGTGAGTAGATCGCAACTGTATGCGTAATTTAAACAATTTACTCTAGATTTTGACTTGCCAAACAAAAAAATTATCTCTTATGCAGAAACAATGTGCTTGAAAAGCTTAAATGTATTTCCAAATTTCATAAACACCCTTTGAATCCATTTTTGTAAAAAAAACCATATTCGTTACTTGCAGTATGGAACGGCTGACACAGTCACCTAAGGTGCCGCAATTGACTACACAGAGTTGCCTGCATTCTTTTGCATGCTAGAACCTGATGATCGTGGAGTCATATCCTAAATTCGCCCTGAATGGCCTTGGTTTATCAGTGCCATACCCGTACCAGTGGGAATCACTAAAGTGGTAACATTGGTGTCCATCGCCATCTCAGGATTTCCTGCCACAATAAACTGACACGCCGTCATATAACTTCACATTGACATAAAACACTCCCTCCCTCGCTTTACTTTCAATGTCCGATTACAGATGGCTATAACGTAAATACTAGATGAGGGAATTTCAAATTAATTGCGGTTCAGATATTTATCATTACAGTGTCAGCTACCTGCTCATTACCAAGATGGACTGAACCACCGTTGTCAGTTTCCTGAAATACAGTTAGTGATAAGTCAGGATTTATATTAATATAGAAGTTAAATTCGCCAATTTGAGGGCAACCGTCGAATCCATTCAGAGGGGAAGATGATACTAGCATTCAATATTAAACGTAAACGGCAACATACTTTCATTAAGCAATGCATAATAAACAACGAACACACCTTAGTACGCATAATTGATTTAGAAAGTAAAACACACAATGTCGTGATTCATATGCTCTATCATTGCATTTGTTGGAGTTTAAAAGGTCACACATACCTGCTCTTTGATTGCTGAAATGTATCGCTGAAGTGTGTAAGTATAACCGGATTGGATAGGTTTTTCTTGTTGAATACAACAAATCTACACTTAAATCTTCACTGTTGATCTTACGCGGAAGATTGTTACAGTTGAAATGGGCCAGGAAATATGTTAGATTGATAACGTGAAGGTTCTGAGTTTCGTTTGTACCATTGGGGAAGTAAACACTGATGAATGCATTTTCAAGTTCTGGTAATGCCACGTTTTTGTCTGCATCTGTCTGTTGGGATCCACCTCCCTTGTTTGCGCTGACAAGGGTATGTGTGCCGTGAAACTTATGTTTCCATCCAATATGCAATCGCCTGGCAGTCGATCTGGAGGTCGTTGTGATGGAGTTTCGGCCTCTCAAACCCACCTTAAAACAGTAGCGAAATTATAGTCATGAAACATAACCTTTTTCCAAAATCATTTTCAAACTAACAGGAGTAGAATGTGCTCCAAAGACTTAACAAACTTGAAATTCTCTATACGTTGTTTCAAGAAAGGAGCACAATACTAACCCAAGGTTCTTGATCCATTGTGATCTTTTTGTTAAAAACCAACTACATGTAACACTAATGTAGCTCGAAGCTGTGTTTATATGATGAATGAACAAAACAAAGAAACTGAAATAATACCCGACCTCTACATTAGGACTGAAACAACCGGCGATTCTGCCATCGACTCTGGAAAAGTTGATACATCGTCAAATCTTCATATATCATTATTTGAGATTAAAGTGACATATATTAACAATCATGAATCACGACTAGAGTGGTCTGATATTCTTACCACAAGCTAGATCCTGGTCATGACACGCCTGTCTTATGAGTGCCCCTTCCCCAAGTCTCAACTCCAAGACTTCTATTAAAGAGAGCACCTCTGTTGGACCATCCTGAAATGAGGCACAGTATTGGTACGAAAGACCACAGATCATAGACGTGCGGAAAACGTAAAAGCAAACAAACTATTCCATACCTTGTTGTCCTGGAAGTTCTTTTTAAGACTTGTCAAATTAAGATGATCGAGTATTTCGTCCATGCTGAAAATTAAATTACATTATTTCTGTCGCATAGGAATTTATCTTTTTACAATAAACTTAATTAATTTTGTTGCTCACTGATTTATGGCTTAACACAATATACGATTAAAGACTGCTTATGTACATCATTTGTTCGATTAAGTTTCATATATCACTCAATACTATCATTATCTTCTTTTGCCTTTATATATTACACGAATCTGTTATCATATATTTACATAATCTAGTTGAAGATACATGTATTTCATCCAGTTAGCCTGCTGTGCAGGATTCGGGATAATTACAACATTTCCATTTAAGCAAATAGATCGTGTAGGTTGGGGTGGAATAGCTTTATAATAGAATTACATATTTGTGCCTCGGTTAGGTGCACGGTGCTTTCGCGATACTAATTCAATATATGAGTGTGCCAACCCCATTTTCGTACGCTGGCTGTGGGGCCC